GAATTAATCTTTTCTGTTTCTTATAGCAGTTTTGTATTGTTTGTAGTGTGATCAGTTTGCGTAAGTAGTAGACGTGTTAGGGAAGTAACACTTAACATTGTAATTATATTTTGCTAAAATGAACAAAATGACTCGAAAAAAGATTCGTTCATTTTGTTTCGCAAAACCTGTCGGCGAGTGAAAAAGCGGGCTAAAATCGTGCAGTGTGAACTCAGCATAAGTCTTCGGGTTGGAGTCGTTCGTTCATCACGTGACAGCCCCATAAGCTTTACCTATGCAGTCTGAGCCGGAAAGAGAATTGATTAGTTCATCTCACGAGTCTTTCGAATCGTTCGTTCTTTTGTCACGTGACGTGACAGCATTGGAGAGAGAAATTAGTTCATTTAAAAGCTTCCTTATAAATGGGTGCATAGTTATTATTATTATTATTATTATCATTATTATTTACTTCTACAGTTATGTGATGCGTTTCTGGTCTCAAATTGTAGCTTTTTACTTCTTACAGTTTATAAATGTGTGAATTTCTGTCATTATGGTTGAACGAATCGTTCAAGAACGACCCATCACTACTATATGGGGAATAAGGAAGGATTCAGACGATTCCTGTTTCAGTTGAAATTACGTCACCACATAGCACAACGCTGCATGTTTCAAGGCACTTCAGTGGACCTTTAAGGTTATCTATAAGCTGGGTGTTCGACTCGGGAGTGCAAGTCTGGAAATTCTGCAACTTGAAACAGCAGCGTACTTGATAACGTCACTCAGCTTGCCTTGGCTACTCCGGTTATCCTCAGGGCTGTCCTTAAGGGGTTGCAACTGGAATGCACACAAAGTCGTTATTATGAGTGGGAAGCTCGAAATTACCTTAAAGGCCCGAGTTTCCGAGTTGGGGGTGTGTCAGTGAGAAAACATGTTGGATGCAATGGATGCAGCCAAAGTCTAGAGATATGCAGTGTCTGTATTGGCGGTAAATTTCTTGAAATGAAAAAAATAAATAATATATATATATATATATATATATATATATGTGTGTGTGTGTGTGACCCTGAACCACAAAACCACAAGTTTCACATGTTTCCAGGGTCACATATTATTGTATAATTACCAATATATAATGATTACCAATATATAATCTCCTTCATAAATTGAATAAAAACAGAAAAAAGCAAGAACACAATGATACACATTCTTTATTTATCATTTTGTAGATGTAGAGTTAAAAAAAATCATTGAATTTTATGTAGAAAAGTTAAATCGCCATCTTGTACCAACCAAAGTAACTTGAACGCACCTGACGTCGTAATTACGTCTTGTCAACTCGTAAATACGAGCTTCCCAGGAGGACTTGAATGCACCATAATTATATCTCATGTTTAACCACTACAGAGACATCGCCAGCGACAAACGTCAGAATGACTAGCCAAGATAAGGCTGCTCTCTGTGGGAAACACTGACAAGCCTGTGGGCAGTATATAATGAGGTGAGAGCGACAATTGCCGCAGAATCTTCTTCTTCACACTGCCATCGTCAAAGACAGACCAGAAGATACTACAACTTTTTCACGGCATCCGATGGCCACCTTCTGTCGACTTTGCACGGGCCCTGTCGACCCACCGGACCCGCACGAGCACTGCATTGCCTGCCTGGGCCTGGCCCACGCTGAGGCTGCATTCTCTGAGTCCAACTGCGTGCACTGTGCTGACTTGCCGGCACAAATTTTGAGGACTTGGACTCGCTCGTGGCCTTATGGGGATGAGGCCCACTGCTGCCAGCAAGCTGCTGGTGGGCCCTCCCCTCCTTTCTGTAGTCCTTTCCGCTGACGAGAGCCTTCACCCCCCTCCTGCCGTCGCAGACATCATTTCCTTTGGCACCTGAAGAAAACGAAGACTCCATGTCTATCTCTGCATCACAAAAGGACTGGACAGAGTCAGAGTGGGATCGTCCTGACACTGAGGGACCTCCAGGAGGAGCTCGTCAGGGTCCTCGCGAAAGCTGTTAAGGAGCTTGACATCAACTGGGATGCTCCAGGGGAAAATGCCAGGACAAAATGCCGTGAAAGACCTGTACACGGCGACAGACTTTGCGCTGATGGCGACAAAGAGCTCTGCTCAAGCCATTGGTCGAACCATGGGGTTCATGGTTATCCTTCACAGGCACCTATGGCTGACCCTAGCTGACCTGAAGGACTCCGGACATCATTTCCTTTGGCCCTGAGGAATATGAAGACTCCATGTCCATCTCGGCATCACAAAAGGACTGGGCAGAGTCAGAGCGGGATCGCCCTGACACTGAGGGCCCCCCAGACCTCCAGGAGAATTGTAGACTGACTGCCCACCTCACTTACAAGGCTTACACCTCCGCTGGCGAAGCGGCATCTGTGCTGCACGAGATGGCAGTGCTGCAGGTTTTTCAAGCCAAGCTCCTGCAGTCCCTGGACAGCTGCGACATGGACGCGAATGCCGTGAAAGACCTGCACGCAGCGACAGACTTTGTGCTGATGGTGAGAAAACGCTCTGCTCAAGCCATTGTTTGATCCATGGGGTTCATGGTGGTCCTTCACAGGCACCTATGGCTGACCATAGCTGACCCCCCAGTGCTGCATCCGGCATTATGTTCCCCTTGTTCCTGCAGGCGACAAATGCAACATTCATGTTTCTATTTGTTCAATAAAAACACAAACACCCTCACAAAACACCCTCACTGACTGTTCCCACCTCATCCTATCGACACAGCGTTACTCGCCCTGCCTCAGAGCAGTGCAGAGCCACTGGCCTCCCAGTGTTATCCTCCATGAGCCGTTTCCCCACCAGCATGTTTAGCCTTGCCGGAGGCAAGGTGCCAGTCTACAAACATCGCTGCCAGTGATAGCAACCTAAGTCAGTTCCTAGATGCGTGAAGAGCTATTCCAGGCATTTCTCGCTGGCTGCTAGACATAATAGAACACAGGTATTCTCTCCAGTTCAGAAGCAGAACACCCCATTTCAAAGGCATGGTTCCGTCACTGACATTGCGTCAAAATGCCACTGTTTTGAGACAGGAGGTCTCAAAGACAGGAGCACAGCCTGCTCACAAAAGGAGTGATAGAGCGAGTCCTTCCGTCTGAGCATATAACATATCTGGGTGTGTGTTTCGACTTGGTGGAGATGCGAGCCCTCCTCTCTCAAGAGCGCACAGCGATCATTTCATCAGCTCTGCGCCGCTTCAGACCAGGCCGGTCTGTTTCCTTGAGGGAATTTCAGAGGCTTCTGGGACTTATGGCTTCGGACCCATCAGTTTGCCACCTGGGTCTTCTGCACATGCGGCCGCTGCAGCTGACAACTCGAGTCCCGTGGAGAGTATGGACCTCGGGACGTATGCACATCGTGGTCACACACAGCTGTGTCAGTGCTCTGAGACCATGGTGCGACCCAGAAATGTTCAGCGGGGGGGTTCTCCTGGGACTAGTGACAGCACGCACTGTAGTTACGTCAGATGCGTCAACCTCGGGTTGCGGAGCAGTGTGTGAGGGCGTACCGACTTCAGGTCTGTGGTTAGAGTCACATAGCAGGTGGCACATAAACCACTTGGAACTGAAAGCGGTGTCCTTAGCCCTAGTGGCTTTTCTGCCGCAGCAACAATATGTCTGTGGTTTCGTACATAATTCGCCAAGGCGGCGTGCGCTCCAGAGCCCTTTTCAAGCAGGCTGCGAGCGTCCTATTATGGGCGGATAGTCATCTACTCATCATCAGAGCAGTGAATATCCCCAGGCTCCTAAACTGCAAAGCGGACATGCATGACATGCCAGTTTGGTTCGGATGATTTGGGACCGCTTCGGCAGGGGCGTGTCTACGTGGTGGCCAGGGGTGGCACTGGCCCCCCCTGAAAGTTGGCTGGCCACCCCAGGTGCCCCCCCTACCAGATGTCTTGCGATAGGCTTGTTTTTAGTAAATTTCTAACTGCATCTGACAGTGGCGGATCCTGGCATGTGTAGGCAGCTGCCTAGGGCCGCTTTCTTCTCTTCTTTATACTTAATTTTAGGCGGTTTCTATAGTGTGATCTTAATGACAATGTCGAGAGCGCATAATGTTACGCGATCCATGTGCGCGAGGACGAATCTCTCCACTCCCAAGCGGATTTCCTTCACTCACACAAAACTGGACGTGTGCTTTTAA